GGTACCCTTTAGTCGCGGTCCGCCTCCCCAACCGCGACTAAAGGGTTTTGGCGCCGCCTCCGTTCCCGCGCAGAAAGACCCTTTAGTCGCGGTTGGAGAGGCGGACCGCGACTAAAGGTACCCTTTAGTCGCGGTCCGCCTCCCCAACCGCGACTAAAGGTCTATGCTAGAACTGGCGCGGTGCGGTGGGATGTTTAGTCCCACCTCGCTAGCCGAGAGGCTTCGACAGTGGTTTATAAGCGCGGCTGCGCTCACCACTTCGAGCTCCTCTCAAATGCAGGCTTACGGGCCTATTCTGTCACTATGTGCCTGTGGGCCTACTCGGCCTTCTGCGGGCCTGAATCCTGGCCCTTTAATGGGTTTCTAGTCGTATTCACGCCGTGGTGGCCCAGTAGGTGGCATATTTTTTTTTTCTTCCTTTTTTCCTTTTTCCTTTTTTCTTCTGTTTTTTTTATGTTTTTCTTCTGTTTGTTTTTTTCTTCTGTTTTTCCTTTTTTCTTCTGTTTTTTTCTTCTGTTTTTTTCTTCCTTTTTCCTTCTTTCTTCTTCTTCCTTTTTCCTTTTAAAATCAGAAAAATAAAACTAATTCATTTTAAAATCTTAAAAATACAATTATATATCAAAAAAATCAGAAAAATAAAACTAATTCATTTTAAAACCCCTTGAAGGTTTGACAAAAGGTTTGATATCCTTTTTTCCTTTTTCCTTTTTTCTTCTGTTTTTTTCTTCTGTTTTTTTTATGTTTTTCTTCTGTTTGTTTTTTTCTTCTGTTTTTCCTTTTTTCTTCTGTTTTTTTCTTCTGTTTTTTTCTTCCTTTTTCCTTCTTTCTTCTTCTTCCTTTTTCCTTTTAAAATCAGAAAAATAAAACTAATTCATTTTAAAATCTTAAAAATACAATTATATATCAAAAAAATCAGAAAAATAAAACTAATTCATTTTAAAACCCCTTGAAGGTTTGACAAAAGGTTTGATACAATAAATTATTACACATCATTTCTTCTCTTGTGTCCCTGCTTGCTTACGATTGTGCCGTATCCATGGAGCATCCTCATCATTTAACTTAATGCTTGGGTCCGTGTTCACTTTGAAGGGCGGAATTTCAGCAAACATATTATAATCTTCTGACATGTCTGTCTTGTCCTCCACTCCCACGATGTTTCTTTTCCCTGAAAGAACAATGTGGCGCTTTGGATCATCGCATGATGCACTGATCGTTTTCTTATCTTTCCGTTTCCTCGGTTTGCTACTCATGTCCTTCACATAGAAAACCTGAGCGACATCTTTCGCTAGGACGAATGGTTCGTCAAGGTAACCAAGATTGTTGAAATCCACCATTGTCATTCCGTATTGCTGGTCCACCTTTACCCCACCTCCTGTTAGCTTGAACCATTTGCACCGGAACAAAGGGACCTTAAAGGAGGGTCCATAGTCAAGTTCCCATATCTCCTCTATGTAACCATAATATGTGACCTTTTGCCCATTCTCGGTTGCTGCATCAAAGCGGACACCACTGTTTTGGTTGGTGCTCTTTTTATCTTGGGCGATCGTGTAAAATGTATTCCCATTTATCTCGTACCCTTGGAAAGTCGTTATAGTCGAAGATGGTGTCTTGGCCAACTTGTACAGCTGATCTACAACATCATTGTTATTCATTAAATGTTTTCTCAACCAACTGCCGAAAGTCTCCATGTGGGCCTTCCTAATCCAGGATTCAGGCTTCCCCGGGTTGTCCGAGCGTAAAATATTCTTGTGTTTCTCAAAGTACGGAGCCACCAAGCTGGAATTGGTCAGTACAGTGTGGTGTGCTTCAGTCAGAGAATGGCCGTCCATACATATCGTTGATTTCCTTCCGATCGTGCCTTTTCCACTTAGTCTCCCCTCGTGCCGCGATCGAGGAAGACCAATCGGCTTAAGGTCAGGAACAAAGTCAACACAAAACTCAATTACCTCCTCATTTCCATAGCCCTTGGCGATGCTTCCTTCTGGCCTAGCACGGTTACGAACATATTTCTTTAATACTCCCATGAACCTCTCGAAGGGGAACATATTGTGTAGAAATACAGGACCGAGAACGAAAATCTCTTCGACTAGGTGAACCAGGAGGTGCGTCATAATATTGAAGAAGGATGGCGGGAACACCAACTCGAAACTGACAAGACATTGGATCACATCATTCTGTAACCGTGGTAGAACTTCTGGATTGATTACCTTCTGAGAGATTGCATTGAGGAATGCACATAGCTTCACAATGGCTACTCGAACATTTTCCGGCAGGAGCCCCCTCAAAGCAATCGGAAGCAATTGCGTCATAATCACGTGGCAGTCGTGAGACTCCAGGTTTTGGAACTTTTTCTCCGCCATGTTTATTATTCCCTTTATATTGGACGAGAATCCAGACGGGACCTTCATACTGCTCAGGCATTCAAAAAAGATGACCTTCTCTTCTTTGGTCAGAGCGTAGCTGGCACGACCTTGAAACCATTCCGGATGCCGGTCATCAGGGTCTTTCAAACGTTGCTGGTCCTGCCGTGCTTCCTTTGTATCATTTGTCTTCCCATACACGCCCAAGAAGCTTAGGAGGTTCACGCAAATATTCTTCGTAACGTGCATCACGTCGATTGCAGAGCGGACATCTAGGACTTTCCAATATTCTAGCTCCCAGAATATAGATTTCTTCTTCCACATGGCTGCGTGCCCGTCAGCTCCCTTCGGAACTGATTGTCCGCCAGGACCCTTTCCAAAGATGACTTTCAAATCCTTGACCATATCAAATACCTCAGCACCAGTGCGTTCCGCAGGCTTCGGCCGGTGATCTGCCTTGCCGTTGTAATGCTTACCTTTCTTTCTTACTGGATGAATTTTCGGAAGAAATCGACGATGCCCAAGGTACATGTTCTTCTTACAATTTGGCAAATGTACACTTTCAGTCTCATGTAAGCAGTGCGTGCATGCATTGTATCCCTTATTTGACAGTCCCGAAAGGTTACTAAGAGTAGGCCAATCGTTGATGGTTACGAAAAGCAACGCTCGTAGGTCAAATTCCTCTTGTTTGTGCTCATCCCACACACGAACACCACCCCACAGCTGTAAAAGTTCATCAACTAATGGCCTTAGGTACACATCGATGTCGTTGCCGGGTTGCTTCGGACCTTTGATGAGCACTGGCATCATAATGAACTTCCGCTTCATGCACAACCAAGGAGGAAGGTTGTAGATGCATAGAGTCACGGGCCAGGTGCTATGGCTGGAGCTCTGCTCGCCAAAAGGATTCATGCCATCCGTACTTAGAGCAAATCTTATGTTCCTTGCGTCAGCTGCAAAATCTTTGAACCATCTGTCGATCTTTCTCCATTGCGTTCCATCTGCGGTGTGTCTCAACTCCCCGTCTGACTTACGGTCCTCTTTGTGCCATCGCAACAACTTGGCATGCTCTTTGTTCCTGAACAGACGTTTCAACCGTGGTATTATAGGAGCATACCACATCACCTTGGCGGGAACCCTCTTCCTGGGTTTCTGGCCCTCAACATCGTCACCAGGGTCATCGTCTCTGATCTTATAACGCAATGCAGTGCATACCGGGCATTCATTCAAATTCTCGTATTCACCGCGGTAGAGGATGCAGTCGTTGATGCATGCATGTATCTTCAGAACCTCTAAACCTAGAGGGCAGACAACCTTCTTTGCTTCGTACGTACTGGCGGGCAACTCGTTATCCTTTGGAAACATATTCTTCAACATTTTCAGCAAGTTTTCAAATGCCGAGTCAGCTACACCTGCCTCTGCCTTCCATTTCAGCAAATCTAGTGTGCAGCCCAGCTTTTTCAGACCATCATCGCATCCGGGGTACAGCGCCTTTCTGTGATCCTCTAACATGCGATCCAAATTCTCCCTCTCCTTTTCAGTTTCGCAGCGTCTCCGTGCATCAGCAATGGTCCGACCAAGATCATCAACGGGATCATCACGTGCCTCTTCTTCACCTTCCCCTTCACCTTCAGCATCCTCCATGAAAGTATCACCGAAATGAGCAAGATAGCTTTCATCGATGAAATCATCCCCTTCTTCATCTTCTTCCATTATAACCCCTCTTTCTCCATGCTTGGTCCAACAATTATAGCTTGGCATGAAACCGTGCCGAAGCAGATGCATGTGAACATCTCTTGAGGAAGAGTAACCCTTCTGATTCTTACAGATAACACATGGACAGATAACAACACCCCCCTGCTTGTTCGCATTAGCCACTACGAGGAAATCTTTCAAACCCGTAGTGAACTCGCCGGAGAGTCGGTTACCGTACATCCATTGCCGATTCATCTGCATTATTATAATATAAAATATATAATTAACCATCATGCATTTGTTAAACTAACTAGCTACAAACAATATAAATTAAACAATGAACTGCACACATGCATATTTTATCAATGACACACATGCATGAAAGGTTCAAGTTGCTAACCGCGATCGAGGAGGAAAAAATAAATGAGGAACCTCAAGTGTGGCTCCAACACTTCATATCATGTTTGTTTCACCCTCTTAGGGCATTTCATCAAACACCTTGTGTGCATAAGAGGAACCAAAAGCAAACCTACACCCCCTTGTGAAGCTTGTGAAGAGAAGTGGCACCAAATGGCTAAGTGAGCGTGCTGAACTGGTATATATAGGGGAGGAGCTTTAGTCGCGGTTGGCCAGGCCAACCGCGACTAAAGGCCTTTGCGCACCTTTAGTCGCGGTTGGCCTGGCCAACCGCGACTAAAGCCCCTCACGTGCACCAGCTGGCCACCGAGCGCCCTGGGCCCAGGCCTTTGGTCGCGGTTCGTCTGCCGAACCGCGACTAAAGACTTCATTAGTCGCGGTTCCTACAGTTTCGCGACTAATGGGGCTGGACGGAAGCCTCTTTTTCTACTAGTGATGTTATTCACAGATTTATTAATGTATATGTCTATGTGGTGTAAGATATAGCTTGGTTTGTCAAAATGTGTTTCTCCTTGACACTAATTATAGATGTGCTACCTGGTTTCAAAGAAGGACAGCAGAGAATGTCAGAGAGTGATCCACTGTCAGCTATTTTTATGGAAGACACTGAGGTTTTTCTCACAAAACTCATCTTTACTTCCTCCCAGCATTGCTATATTGAGCTCTTGATTAGTGGGAACGTCCATGCCTAATGTTATGGTGTGCAATTTTTTTCTTCCGTGGCAATAATTTCATTAGCAACATGTTTTTTGCAGTCTGAGGTTACAAAAAAGATAAAGAAGGCTTTCTGCCCTCCCAAGATTACTCAAGGAAATCCATGCTTGGAGTACGTAGAGCATATCGTTCTCCCTTGGTTTAGAGAGTTCGAGGTGGTCCCACCTGATGGCGGTAACAGGTAGTAACTTTTTTCCCCAAAGACAACCAAAATATATTTCCCTAAAGAAAAACACTAGCAGAATATATTATTGCTGCAAGCCTGCAATCGATAAAAGAGCTCTTGCAAACGTCTGCCTACCGCAATATCTGTCAAGAAAGAATCCAATGATATGGCACGATTTTGATAGCTGTGTTCAACTGTAACATCTGTTTGTTTGGTCTTAAGCCGGACCTACGTAGGAATTGAAGAACTCCGCGAGGATTACGGCAGTGGCACTGTGCATCCCCGTGATCTGAAACTTGCTCTTGCAAAAGCAATAAACCAGATATTGCAGGTAAGAGACACCCCCAAGTCAATTTTTCTATTCCAGTAGAACAGGGTGTAAAGTGGACTTGTTTGAAAGTCATGATAAGTTTATTTCCATGCTATTGCTTTTATTCGAAAAAATACTTCTATACTGACTTAAAGATCTTACCAGTGCCTCATGTAAACAGCTTGTACGTGATCACTTCGAGAAAAATTGCGAAGCCAAAGGTCCGTGTGACGATGTTAAGGTACATGCCCCTTAAAACTCACTTGGATGAATGCTCACAATCATTTTGGTTGTCATCGGACTACATTCTTTCTTCAGAAATGTTGTCAAACTGAACAACTTCTATCCTCATGCATCATGCCTCCAAGGCCAATAAGCATTTTATTGTCAGTTTTAAAAAAATAAGCATTTTATCTGATTTTCACAAACTCATTTCAGGTTTTAGTTGAATTGACTTCTTGAATCATGCATTTTAGTAGCATTTGCTTGCTCTTTTGAGTATAATACTCCCTCCGTTCCTAAATATAAGTCTTTTTAGAGATTTCAATAAAATCTACATACCAATGTATATAGGCATATTTTAGAGTGTAGATTCGCTCATTTTGCTCCGTATGTAGTCCGCATTGGAATCTCTACAAAGACTTGTATTTAGGAACAGAGGGAGTATAGTTACTCAAATTGAATTGCAATTTTGTATTGTATACATCATGGCAAACATTGACAAATGTGCAAGGCTGTTTTGCAGTGAGAGGAGCAGCCAAGATAACCAAGAACTTATGCATGTTCTGTCAACAATCATTCCTAGAGTTATGTGCACTTCAAACTATTGCAATCAAGATAGCCAAGAACTACAGACATATTTTGGAAGAAACCGTTTTACAAACTATGTATGGTTTTCTTATTTCAAGGAATTTTGTGTACTTTGAGCTATTCCCTCATATCAAAATATAAGGTGTTTTTGGGTCTAAATCTAGAGAAAAAAAGGTTTTATATTTTGATACAGAGGGAGTATTTTCCATTACTGTGTTTGAATGACACTGTGCACTTGCACAACTTCAAGTGGCTATCCATCTAAAAGCATTCTTTGGTGTACTCTCTAGATAAATCAGCATTTCTGCAAGAGCATGCTATTACTCATCCAAAAGTCTGAACTGATGAAGGAAAATGGGCACTCCCCCTCACGTCTAGGCTTATTTAGTCCTTACATGGGATCAATGTAGGCCGCAGAATCGTTTTTATTGGCACCCCCCCTCACGTCTAGGACCTCTTGGCTCGGATACCATATTGAATTCATGCTCCAGCCAACTCATCCAAAAGTCCGAACTGATGGAGGGAGGCGTGCAATATATTTCAACACTTACATATTGAATTCATGCTCCAGCCAACTCATCCAAAAATCCGAACTGATGAAGAAAGGCGTGCAATATATTTCAACACTAGTGTTAGTGCATCATAGCTTTAGTGATCTAAATGATCTTATATTTCTTTAAAGAGGTACTCCCTCCGTCCAAAAAACTTGTCCCTCAAATGGATGTATCTAGCACCAATTGCTAGATCCATTTGAGGTGGTGCTAGATATGTGCTAGATACATCCATTTGAAGGGACAAGCTTGGGTCAAGCTTTTTCGGACGGAGGGAGTATGAAATAGGGAATGAGTAACAATTCAGCTTCAGTATGTCAAAAGCCTAGCATGCCAAAGAGGTAAAAGGGGGATTAAAATCAGCTAACTAACACTGTAACTTTGAGGAAGAGTAAACAGACCATAAACATGCAATGCAACTCCCCAGATTGTAATAGTGCCCGTACTAGACACACCACTAGCGTGATCTTGACTCACGTGGCCGAAGTTGGGTTTATGACTTCAACCCAAGTTTGCCCATAGATAGTTGTGCATGATCAATCTGGAATTCTGGATACACTGTTACTCAAGTAGATTTAACAAGGAACATCAAATTAGTACCCAAGAAGGCAATACATAAGCTCATATATCTCAGTTCTCTGTTACTTCAACCCACATACTTAGGAGAAATATCTCAATTCAGAGAAGCAGCAGATGGAAATACTAATGCTAGTGGAAGAATAACACTGGCCAGTCTTCATAAGGCACACTCCAGCAACCTAAAGATAACCCAGAGGCTTGAACTGGCCAGAGCTATCTCGCATTTCGAAATAGGTTGGCATATAGCAGAGGCAGAGAAAAGGGTCATCAAATGAGAAGTCAGATCCTTTCGAGAGGCTCCAAGCACTAGGAAATTTGCTGAAGGTGAGTTGCAATTTATCGCCTCCACTGGCCCATTTGGCACCTTGCAGAGCTTTCATCTTGATAGCAATCTCTTCAGGCGCAGCATATCTTCCAAACTTCAACTCAACCACCATCCGCTCCAGCACCTCTGCATTCTCAGCAATGAACATGAGAAAGGCAAACTCATTCTCATGCCCATGGTACTCACGGAAAACGATTCTTTTGAGGCGCGATCGGACGCACTCAATCATACCATTCTCCTGCCAGAACTTGAGGCGGAGGTTACCAGTGGGTTCATGAGTTTCCTCGGACTGCAAACATATATCGACCCATAGTTGAGCTATATGCAATGACAGATAATACAGGAGCAATGTGCTGCTATCCCGTAAATGATAGGAAAAAGTTAGTTTTACCTGAATAAGAAGAACCTCGACGTTCGGAAAGCACCTGAGGAAGCTAGGCAGCATCTTGACTTCATTGCGGATTCCAAAATGTAGGCTCAATGCTAACATCTGGACACTGGGGACAATCGTCCTTGGGCTCACCTGTGTACTAGCCTGCAAGGGACCAAATGAGCATAAAACTGATCGCACATCATTCACATTTGCTGATCGATAGGCAGACAAGCACATAAACAGGCCTTTTTGCATGCATATCATCAAAACAAACAAATGGAACTCAGGAATGGGCTGACAGAGACATAGAGCTGCACCTTGATGGTGGTGTTGCCAACCTCCAGCACATGCCATCCTGGCCGTAAGTATCCCAGCAAACGCAGCTGTGGAGCACGACCAATCTTGACTCTAATGCTTGTTTTGCTCCTGGCCGTGCCGAGGCCGTGGCTTGAGCAGCACCAGATGAAGAGACGCTCAAGGCATGGGGCGTCCACCACAGCGACCTCCTCCACAGTGGACAAGCAGAATTGCGCGCACCGTAGGCTCTGACTGGCAAGACGAGCGTGCAGTTGGGTCTGGCTTCCAACGACCGCGAGGATCTCTAGCACGGGGCTGGCGGCGAGCACGAAGTCGAGATCCTTGTCCGTCATCATGACGCAGCCGAGGACGAGCTCACGCAGATTGGGGAAAGCAGCGCCGCGCGGGAGGGTGGCGGTGTCCGGAAACAGCCAGGCGCCGAGGTAGAGACGGGTGAGAGAGGCGCAGCTGAAGAGCGCGACTGGGAGGCAGACGCCACGGGGGAGGGGCCACGGGCGGTTGACGAGGACGAGCTCGCTGACGCCTTTGGTGGCGAGGAGCTGAACCCAGCGCGCGAGCACGCCGCGGTCGGCGCGTTCCAGGAAGCTGCAGGTGAGGCTGACGAAGGTGAAGTTCCCTTGGTGCGCCTCGAGGGCTGCGGAGACGGCGCCGGTGACGGCGCGAGAGACGGCCCCGGCGCGGCCGGGCCGGGCCCCGGCGCATGCCGCGGGAAGGAGGTGGGTGTCGACGAGGACGAGCGGGGTGGAGCGCCAAAGGTGGTGCCAGCGCGAGGAGAGCACGGCGGTGCGCGCGCCGTCCTTGGCGGGGAGGCGGGAGACGACGCGGCGGAGGAGATCGTCGGGGAGAAGGCTGACGCGGTCGACGCCGTCGCCGTCCTCCGCGGTGGTGCAGGAGAGGGAGGCGGCGGTGGAGACGGGCGACTCCAGGAGGTAGGAATAGAAGAAGTTGAGCACCATGTTTTTGTAGGGGTCCAGCGTGTCCGGATCCAGCCCATGCCGCATGTCCATGGGAACGCCCGGGTCCTCCGCGGCGGGGGAGTCGGCTCGGAGCAGTCGCGGGTAGAACCTGGGCGGCTGCCTAGCCATGGTGGCCGCCGCACAACGGCCGTCAAGGAGGAGGAGGAGGGTTTGGGGGTTTTGGGGCTTCAGGCCGGCATTTGGGGTATTTTTTTCCGAGGAGGAGGAAGAGGTGCTCCGGAGAGGAGTGACCGTGTGGAAGCAACCTTTTTTTTATTTGACGCATACCCTCGCCCCTATGAACGCACACCCGCACATACTATCTCTATGAGCACCTCCGAAAGACTGAGCCGGCATATCATCTTGAAATTTTACGAAGTCACCGTAGGCGCCTCGTAGTCGACGGGAACGTCTGTGTCACCGGAAATCCTGAAATAAATCCAGGGTAAATGCAAGCACCACGATTTGTACCCTGATGGGCCGGGATACCACTGTCCATCTAACCATCCAACCACAGGTTGGTTCGCGTGTGAAAGCAACTCTACCTCTAGCACAAAATTGGCTGAAAGGGTCGTGCTAGCTTTTTTTATTTTTGAGGGGTACGGGTAGTGCTAGCTGGGCCGGCCGCGTAGCACGCATGCACGACAAGGGCTAAACGGGCCATGCTTGGCATGCGACATGTCAGGGCCTGGAGGCTGGGCAGGCGGGACGGTACCGCACGACTTGTTTATTTGCAACCTCGTGTCATTGTATATTTGTATGGCAAAACCTATTTGGCGCTGCAGGCGTCGGTTTCTTCGGTTTTCTGCAAACTGGCGCGTGCAGGCGCGTTAACTGGGCTCGGCCCATTTACTTCGTGTGCCTGACCCGACCTCCCTTCGCTTCCTCGTCATACATCGCCCCGAGAGCGCCTCTTCGTCTGGCTCCTTCTCCTTCCTCATCCCGCAATGACGACGGAGAGGATTTTAATCGATTCGTCGTCGTTCTCGCGGAGGAGGGACCGTCGGAGGAAGTGGGTCATTCAATCAGTTACCGCGATGGCTTCTGTTGGTTCGTCCCCTCTAAATCCTATCTCCTTTGTTGTTCGTTCGCTGCTAGGGTTTGTTCGTCCCCTCTTGTCTGTTTTGCTCCTTTTTAGGCTTGTGTTACATTTGCTCTTGGGTTTTCGTGGTCTTCCGCTGTTAGATCCGCTCCTTTGTTTAGGGTTCATGGTGCTGGTTCGTCCGAATCGATCCGGTCCACAAGTTCTATGGGGTAGAATCGATCTTTTGCTCCATATGCAGAGATCCGTTTGGTACTCTATGGTGGGAATCAATCTTGTGCTCCATGGGCAGAGATCCCTGTAGTACTCTAGGTTTTTGTAGTGGAATTTCCATTTAATACTCTAGGGTCTGTGGTAATTTCTACTTTCATTAATTTTCATCTGCGAGGTCAATTACCCCTTTGTTGAAGTCTAGTTCTGTATAGGTATGTGTGGTGAAACCATCACCAGCAGCTCTAAGATTTGTGTCAAAAATCATGATAACCAAATCCAAAATCCCCTTAGTTCTCAATTGTTTTGTGTTGAAACCCCCTTTTTTATTCTAGGGTTTGTGTTGAAATCCTGCCAAGTACTCTAGTGTTTGTTTTTTAAACCCCCTTAGTACTCTAGAGTGTTGTGCTGGAATGCCCTTAGTATTTTTGTTTTTTAATTGGGCTAATTTTGGATTTTGTTTTTCCTGATTAATGATTCATAAAGATATTATGTGCCTATTATTTCCCAGAGCAGTAGTTCCATCTGGTTCGTGCGGTGTAGTAGTGTGTGTGAATCCATCTCCGCGCTAGGGTTTTGATGCGTGTGAATCCATCTCCTCGCTAGGTTTTGGTAGTACTGAGTGTGAATCCTTTGAACCCCAAGCATGGCATATCTTTTTTCTTTGTTCCTGTTTAACCTTTGTTTGAGGATTTTTTTAACCGTATAGCTGCTTCTGGTTTATTTGTCAATTTTCCCTTAGTATCTAGTGTTTTGAGTATTATCTGGTAATATGAAAGTTTCATAGTTAGTCTTTTTTATTTTTTGTTAGTAGTTGTTGGTAAGAAGATGCTCAGTTGTTTCAAATTCAACTTGACTTTGGAGCAGAAGAAGGTATCGGAATTGACCAAGTCGATGAATCAGAAGGGGGTGAAGCAATTGAATATCCGCCCCGAGGTCTTCAAAATGACTAAGGTGGTATGATCATTTTCTTTCACCTGTAGCTTTTAAATTCATTACATTATGACGTAGAGTCAAGAAGAAGAACCTGGATGCATATTGGCATTAGAGTTTAGTGGATGCTTTGCCATGGTGCAACCAAGTGGGGAAGGAACTAAAAAAATTCCTCCTCTTACGATTAACTATTAGTCGCTCGGAGAGTTTTGCTTACTTGCTACTATTTTTGTAGTGGATATTTTGCTTTAGTTGCCTAACACAGTAACAAATGTTTGTTAGTTGCAAAAAAGATGTTGTGTTGTGGACTGCTTTGTAAGTATTTTTTGACACTACATGCAGTTTAAAAATGCTCTTATATTCAAGGACGGAAGTAATCTAATAACTTGAAATATCCTTTTGGAGATGAGGTATCAACACTTAGAGAAGATCATTGTGTTTGTTAGAAGCATAATAGTTCTTCACATGAGCGTAAATGTCTTGCAATGCAACCAACGTTTCATGTTTTTTGTGTAGATCAACCTGGTGGTGCGGTCTCAGTGTTTTGTTAGAACCTTTTTCATGGTGGTGAAAATCCCAGATATGTGCGGGCCCACTAGTAGAAGTAGGGGACATTGCAGATCGGAAGGTAACTCAGGATTGGAGAAGGGCAAGAACTAAAATATAGGATTGGGGAGACCACTAGAGGATG